CTATGGTCAAAATAATGGAAACACACGTTTCATTTTGGGATGTTTTGCGGTTTTAGCTGACTCACTTCTTAGATTTCATGGCCAATCACTGCTAACATAATGACCCCGCGATGGTCTATCTTGGGATGCGAGTGGAAAATTCAATTTGTGGTTATTAGAGAAACTTGATGCTTGAAAAAAAATCCACTTTCTGTGGTGAGTTTTTGTTGTTTCCTTTAAATTGATCATACTGTCAACAAATGCACAATATTCCCTGTATTAACTGTTTTTGAGTGGATCTGCCTTTTGAATTCATTCTTTTAATATTCATGAAAAATGTTTAACAGTTGACATGAACATTTCTGACAGGAAGTGTGTTCAGAGTGGTTATGCTATACGTTTGTCCTCTGACTTGGTGGAGTAGTGGAGTCAATGTGAATTTGGACAGGCATCATTCACTGTTTACCAAGGACGTCATCAAAAAGGGTGATGTGTAATGACCTTTGACCTTTACCTGGCTCTGTGTGTGTCTGTCTCTGTCTGCCCGTGTCATGACTGTGGCGGCGCTGTGACCTCCTCGCTGAGTGATGCGCTGCCTGCTGTGAAGACTGAGAAACAATAAACACTCTGCCCTTTTTTACTCCACACATCTGCTCCATGCTCATTGTTCTGTTGAAGATTGTGTGACTGTTTATCTTTGAGTGGAGTGTGGTATTGAGTGTGTATTTGATCAGAGTTGTATTACAAGGTTAAATGCTTTTTTAAATACAATCAGTTCCAGCATTTGTCCAAGCTGCTGTTTGAGTTGTTGCAGAGCAGTATGGATGACGGAACTACTGGAGCTGTGAGGGAAGTCGCCTGAAGGGATTTCTCCTGCAGAGTCGGTCTCATTTCTTTGTTAGTCTTGCTCCTTCTATAACAATTCATAACAAACTTAAGTTACTGGACTTGTGTTGGCAATTTATTCGGTCAGTATTTTTGTAATATTTTATTAATGACGCATAAGCCTGTAGTTACAATCACATAAATCACAGTACCTATGTTTTCCTTTTTTATTGCTAACTAACTGAGCTGTGGGTTTATCAAAGGGGATGCAAGGTTTATCTTTGTGATATTTTAAAAAGGAAAAGCAGGATTTAAAAATGTTTTCTAGTAGATAACAGAAAAAAGTAAATAAATAGTAAATAATGTTTAGGCCACTGTTACAGAGTTTCTCAACACAAAGACCCAAGGAAGAGAATACTGGGACCCTGTCATGTACAATAAGGTAGGCTACTTAGGTCTTAAACGTACAAATACAATACTGAGATGCATTAAAATACTGGCATCGTATATAACAATTGGCAGACTTAACAAATGAGAGACATGAAATAGTAATAGACTTAGCCTTACAATTAAGCACAAGCACAATGACAGAAATAAACCGATCAGATATAAAATAATACTAAAGCAAGCATGCTGAAAAGGTCACATAAATACATTATTTGAGACATAAAAATTGCACATCATACACATCTAAGTGCTATGTTGGGTAGCTAAGGGTATATGCTCATCCTCTAATTTGGCATAATGAATCTTGCATGTATCGCAATGCCTTCCCCCAGCAGTGGATGTAAAGAGGGCAGCACTGCCGGCTGCTGGCGGCCTGCAGCTCCTGCAGCGGGAGGAAATGTTTCGGAAGTGGACATGCAGGCCGGAGAAGGAATCGAAGGAAAAGGGCGGAGGAGAGGCAGCTACCGGGGCATTGAGTAAATGATAAACCACCGTGACTTTTAGCGGAAGCACCATTTAGACAAAAATAAAGTCAGTATTGCAGGCTTGACAGGCCATTTGAATCTCTCCGGTGAACGTCATATGACCATAAGGTAAGCCCGCTTGGTCTGCACCAGAGAAAACAACAGACGACGTACTGTAACGTTAGCTAGCTGCCAGCGTTAGCTAACCTACAGCAAGGTGTGCATAAGCTTGCTAAGCAGCTAGCATTGTCTTCATATATGTGATTGTTTATTGCAGATATGGTGACACAAAAATGCACCGGAACTGTCCTCGTAGAATGCATCTCAGTGGAGCCATGTTTGAGAGGTTTTAGGTGCTTGTGTGTAGTCAGTTTGGGCAATCGTTTCCTCTCTGGTGTTAAACAGGGCAGTGCATAATGAAAGAGCGACTGTGTGAGAGGAGATTGCCTGCGTGGCCAAACCTGTTTTGGCAGAGCTGTGTCAACACCAGCGAAACTGGAATTTACTATTTAGAGTCTATTAATGGCCAGTGGTGTAAAGTAACTAAGTACATTTACTCCAGTACTGTACCAGGGTTGCCAACTTTGGGTACCTGGCTGGAGTGAGATTTTGATATCATGGGTTTAATTCGGTTTAATTACACATATGCGCATGAAATGACTGCTATCGTGTCAGCAGCGAGACCTTAGCATATATATATAGGATATATATACAATATATACAAATACACAATAATGGACACAAATTATAAAGGGCACACAGTTTCATTCACTAATGAAAGTCAAACATGTTTGTTTCCACTGTTTTATTGTGTGCCTGTCGCGATAAGCAATTAATTGACTTATCGTAAGATAAATAAAAATGAACTCGATAACTTTTCTGACCTCGATAAATTGCCATTTACATGAGGATGTGACTAGCAGTTTGAAAGGATGTACTTTAATTATTATTATATATTATTATGTCAGTGGTCTAAAATGGTCATATGATACAACGGTGCCGACAATATTATCGTTTATCGCAATAATTTCCAGGAAAATGTATCTACAAAATTAATTATCGTGAGAGGCCTATACATGAAACACACACACACAAACAAATCTACAGACTTACTCCAAACTGCCAAATATATTAATTAACACACTCTCACTCTCATATACTCTTTGACTCTATTTTGGCCTAGTAGAACAATAAGCAGCAGACATTTACTTTTTTATCATTTCTACTGGATCTTAGATCTGCGCATGCGCAATACGGGCAGTTGCGGCTCCAGAGTATTTTTGTTGGGTAATCTATGGTAGGGCTAACCCATACAGTGGTGGGGCTCAAGTCAGTATTTGCAATGTAATTACATACACGCTCCCTCCGACAGTGAAACGCCACGCGTGAGGTTTAGATTATTTCCCTGTCTCAATCCAAATTGAACTGTATGAAATAAAAAGGCACATTTGTCTTGTAGTAAATAAAAAGGGCGACCTGGAGCCAATCCTGCAATTTCCCCACAAGTGAAAGAGTTGACATGCTGAAAACCCAACCCTTGCAGGGGGGTCTGGGGGGATTCTCCCCCAGGAGATTTTTTTAAATACTAACATCAAATACACATTCTGGTACTCTCTTGAGAAGAAAAATAAATAAATCTATTACCACACGACATATTTAAAAAAATGAATGCCATTTTAGTTTTTTGTTACTTTGTTCTGAAAGCTGAACCTGCTGCTCCTCACAGAGAGAAGAGGGACGAGGCTGTGTGAATTACTTTACATTGTGGATAAGGGTGGATAGCCCCCATTGTTCTGTGTGTCAAAATGAAAGACAGCCCACACACCTATCAATCATCAAACCGTGGGGTCTTATTTCATTACGTGTTGATTTCTATCAACACGTAATGTTGTATCGATGTATAGAGATGTCCTACCGCAAAAGTATTCTCCGTCGGGACTTCCTGCAACAACACCACGCCGTTATCGTGATTCTGATTGGCCAGAAGACATTATCAAAGATGTTCTATTGAGAAGACGATCACTACGTGACAAAAGTTTTGAAAACCGTTTCTAGTCTTCGGTATTCTTGTTTTTGGCGTGAGAATAGTTTGGGCAGCGTGAGAGCGTGAGGTTGAGAGTGAAAGCGTGTGTCACACGCCAGATGCGTGAGAGTTGGCAACCCTGCTGTACTCAAGCACAATTTTGAGGTGCTTGTACTTTACCAGATCATTTCCATTTTGAGCTACTTTGTACTTCTTCCCCACTACAAACCAGAGGTTAAAAGTGTACTTTTACTCCATTACATGTATGTAACACCTTTGGTTACTTTGCAGATTTGGATTAATGATGTGAAATAGTTCAGCACCTAAAAAGGACTTTAGTTACACCTGGAGTAAATCCACAAGCTACACTGCAGTATACAAAGTCATTACAATTAGCTACTTCTTTACCAGCTTTGATAAACACATTAATGCATCAATAATTATAATCCAAACATAAAATATATTATTCTGATATGGGCCGATTTGCATAATAAGTACTTGAAGTATATTTTGATGCTAATACTTTTTTGTACTTTTACTTGAGTAACATTTTGATTGCAGGACTTTTACTTGTAACAGAGTATTCCTACAGTATTCCTGTTCACCCACAAGATCTGAGTACTTCTCCCACTTCTGTTAATGGTTCGCTTGGTGTCGTTCTGTCACAGTTAAGATAGTATTAACCTGTGTTTGTTGGTGTTAATTAACCACAGCAGAGTTGGTTACCTGCCAGTTAAATGTGGCAGTTGTAGTAGTTTAACTGCCTGAAGGAAAGCTCACAACATGCAAAGCAGACATGTTTCAGCAGGTGAATCTAACATGAGGCTTTCTAACTAGAGGAACATGACTTGGGTTAATTTTTGTTTTGCAATGTTAGACCATCAAGGCAGAGGGGCTGTGCTGGGAACACCACCTGCACCACAGCACTACCTGTCCATCATCTGCTCCCTAGAAACAGGCAGGGTCTACAGAGAGACAGAGTTCCTCCTTCTTCCAAATCCAGTGTTATAGAGGGAGGGATGATATGAAATATGAAGGTTTGAGTGCTGTAAATGTTGCCCCACAGCTGGTAAACAGCCCGGGTGATAACAACGCGTTCAGTTTACAGCCAAAGTACACTTTGCTGTTGATTATGCACACAGTTCAAGTTTTGCACACTCCGAGCAGACTGTGTCGTCCTGATGTAGTTACATATCCTGGACAGGCTTCAGCTGTGCTGCAGTACTGGGTTATCATCTGCCCGGAGGGGAAACAAGCAAGATCAATCGGTTCTCTCTGCACATATTATTGACAGTACATTTTTCATCTCCCTCTGTTCCCTTTCCTAGCTCTCCTCTGTCTCCACTGCCTTAACTTTGTCTCGTTCTCTCCCTCCAGGTGCCTTTTTACTCAGATTCTACAAGAGAACAGCAGCTCCTGTCCTTCAGAAGAGTCCGTCTGACGTCACAGGCTTGGCGGCGAATTGGAGTTACAGGGGACATGCATCAGGGGTGAGGGGGCTTCGCTGCGGGACACACACACAGCGTCGGGTGAGGAGGGGTGAGGAGATGAAGCTCAAACAGCGCGTGGTGGTGCTGTGTGCCGTGCTCCTCCTGCTGGGCTTGGCCAAGATCTTCCTGCTGGATGGAGGCGAGGGATCTGTGGCCAGCCGACGAGACCTGAGAGCGTTTCGCAAGGTCAGAGTGCCAGTCAGCTGTTTTAATTTTCAGCGTAGTTTAAAACATCTATTAAAAACATCAGGGCTGTCATTTAGGAGAAAAATAAAATACGATGCACATGATAGTTATAGACTAAGGCTAGTAACCATACTCAACAGTGCTTATGAGCATTTGGCAGACATGTACATATCAGTATTGTAGCGACAAAACTTTTGCAATATTACATTACATTTCATTTGTCTGATGCTTTTATCCAAAGCGACTTACAGTTAGTGCAAAAACCATAAAGATTCAAACTCCGAACGACAAAGAAATCAGAATCAGAAACAGGTTTATTACCAGGTAGGTTTACACATACGAGGAATTTGACTTGACGTCATGGTGCGTACATAAAAATAAAACATTAATTAAAACACAGGTAGGGAACTATAAAAAATATAGTAAAATATAACAGTATTTACATTGGAATGGAATGAAAAAAGGAATAAAATATGAATAAAAATCGGCAGTAATAAAAAAGACAAGAAAACAGATATAGTGTACATATGCATATATATTCACTTCTACTACACATATTGTACATAAAGTGTTATTATCACCCACCCTTAACAGATGGAAGCTGGCCTCACGCTGTCTCGGGCGGCCCGCCTCACCCACACTCTCCAGTCTCCGTGGGAGATAGCGAGCCAGTGGGTGGGCCCCAGAGAGGTTTACCCCGAGGAGACCCCGGAGCTGGCTGCTGTGCTCATGGCCCTCAGCAGTGCCAGGGTAGAGCGAGCAGACGTGGGCTATAAGGGCACGCAGCTCAAAGCCCTGCTGGTGCTGGACGGGGGGCAGAAAGTGGTCTTCAAGCCCAAGAGGTCAGATTTATTGATAACGGAATAACACACTAATATTTTATGTTTAAAGAAATGTAAAAGGACCATTTGGACGTCACCTACTCACCTTGAATTTTTGATGAAAACTTGCATTTTCACTGAAACCTTACCATAAACACACTCCTGCATAAACAGTACTCACACGGACAAGTAGCAGGCCTTTGCACACTTAAGATGTGTGGAGAGATTTAAAACAGAAGTTTAAGTGAAAACGGCCACCTTTTACCAAAATCTCTTAAAGAATATTCCTAGTTTAAAAATTATTTCTTCACTGTGGATGCTTGTGAAAAAAACAAGCTTTCTTCAAGAAATTCAGCACAAAACAGAGTCAGCAAGTATTAAACAAACAACCATTAAGGTAAAGTATTCCTTTCTAAGTGTGATAGAGCTTTCTTATTTGTGTCCTTTCTACCATTCCATAGATATACCAGAGACTACGTGGTGGAAGGCGAGCCATACGCAGGGTATGACCGACACAACGCAGAGGTGGCTGCTTTTCACTTGGACAGGTGTGTAAAAATAATTATCAGTGACATCTTTGTTGATCTATCATTAGAGCTGCTGTGTAATAATGTTCCGTTACTTACATCCGTCCTCTCTGCAGGATCCTGGGCTTCAGGAGAGCTCCTCTAGTGGTTGGGAGATACGTCAACTTGCGAACAGAGATTAAGCCGGTTGCCACGGACCAGCTGCTGAGCACCTTCCTCATGCAGGGTGAGCACCTGTCCACCTTTTCTACTCCCCTCAACTTTATAGTTGATAAGTGACTGTTTTCAGAAGTTCCAAAGTGAGGTAGGTGTGTTATTGTAGGGGTCATTTTCTTTTCTTTTGACTCATCTCTCCACTTTCCCACACAATCTGATTTCAGTTTTCTCTCTGTCCACTTCACTTTTCTCAGCTAATTAAACCAGGACTAATTGGCCTAATCCTGTTTAGTGAGGGTTTTGCATCATACAGTTGATATTGAGTATAAAACCATAACTGATCCTTTCAAAGATACATGGATAACATGTATTGCAAGCTAATACATCAGTAAATGCTACATTTGTTAAAGGGGAACTCCAGCAATGTTACACACAAAAAGCAGTTCAAGGTGTGAGAAGACAACCCTGATGATGTCATTTGGGTTATTTTGTATACAAGTTGAGGTTTTTCTATCATGTCTATGTCATGGTAACTGCTGTTGACTATCTCTGGGTGTATTTGGCTATTATCAGCAAGGTAAATCAACAGTAGCAGCACTAACACTTGAATATTGGATTTTATCTATAAAAGGTTTCTCAATGCATTGTCCAGAAAAGGTACTATGTCATGAAACCAATTTATATTTGAATATAAAATTACCTTTACCCTGATTCTATCCATATTGCTGCCTACTTAGAGCATTCATTATCTCCATAGATGTAGTCTAATAACATTTTTGGACTCATGATGAGTAGTCGTATACAAGAATTTAAAAATCTCTTCATTAAAACCAGACATAGTATTTTTTTATTCCATGTATTGTTAATTCTTGTCAAAATCTGCTGCCTACAATACCCACAATGCAGCTTGACCAGTTGGTGGTTCAGGTGATATTCTAAATATAAATAAATGAGAAACAGGCCACAGAGGTCTGGTATGCTCACCTGTGTCTAACACAACACCGGCAAACAGACATTAATGTGTTAAACACAGACCACCGGATCTCAACCAGCTCACTAGAAGAGTGTCTGCTACAGTCTCCACATATAGTCTACGGTTTTTGATGATTAAAAAGTATTTCAAATGTCAGCGTTGTGGTAACTTAGTCAGCAGCATGTTCTGCATTGTGGGTTTTATATATACAGTCTATGGTTTTAACTTGCGAACACAACTTATACAAAGTGTTCCCAGACTGGTTGACCTGCTGTTCTATCCACATGTTTTATATTCTCTACATTTCAGTTACCGTCAATAAGTGTTCACCTTCACATGACTCACCGCTGTAACAACCTTTTAGGTTGTGGTGTACAGCGGGGGGGCAGAACACCACCTACCCTCACAGGGCACAGGCAGCTACACAAATGTGTCAATATGTCCACAGCACAAGTGATTAATAAAGAGTAAGTTCACAGGGTTGGTTCACTTAACAAAAAAACTACTACCGGCATCAAATCATGCGGAAAAGAAATATTGGTTTTATCCGACCAGGTTATAATTATATGACGCCAAGATGTTTAAAACACAATGCAAGATAGATTGTGAACATCTGCTCACAATGTTGAAACCCCCAATCTCTCTAGACTATCACACCCTTTACCACAGTTTCCATCCAATTAATTTTCTACTGTATAAACCATTGAGTGCTTATTCAAAGAAAAAATGGAACTCTGTATATAAATACTTATTTCACCACAGCTTTAGGTGAATCATAAATCCTTTATTTCCTCCCAAAGTGGGGAAATGTATTTTGTTACTGCAAAGGGAGAGTGCCGATACAAAGGCTACAATAACATGAGTATCAAATAAGGATATAGTGCTTGAAAATGGACCTTGGAAATGTTCTTGATGTAGAACAAAACGTGAAAGCGACTTTCCGTTAAGCTGAAGTGTTTATTTCAATAATAAAATCCTTCTTCACTTTGCTATTGACCTCTCTGAAAGAACCTCCTTATCTAGACATGTTGCACCTCTTTCATATTTGATCATTGAGAGGAGACGTCGGGGTCAAGTGGATTTATTTGTACCGTTTGTCTCTCTCTCTCCAGGTAACAACACATGTTTCTATGGAAAGTGTTACTACTGTCGGGAGAGCGAGCCAGCGTGTGCAGAGGGGGAGATCATGGAGGGGTCTTTAACCCTTTGGCTGCCGGACGTCTGGCCGCTGCAGAAACACAGACACCCCTGGGGACGCACGTACCGAGAGGGGAAACTGGCCAGGTACGAGTCCAAAAATGTGTTTCGGGCAGGGAAAATCCTATGACTATTTTTGTTAATGTTTATCTGGAGGAAATGGAAATGTTGTTGTGCTGCTCAGCGTGAACACGTTCTGCAGAGAGATTATTGCTGTGAACGACTTCCAACTCGTATGTGTGAACATTAATATCACTCTATTTTTAGCCTTGAACCATTTAACTTAAAAAACATTTATCTGATTGGGTTTTAATCTCTCTCTTTCCAGTGGGTAATTTCACGTCATCCATTTCGTCACACTTCCTGTTTTATTATCTTTCCCTGTGGTTCAATAATCTAGAAACTATTTAGGTTTCTATTTACAACAACACACGTTTGACCATGTGAATAAGAAACTAGAACTGACAACTTTGTATGTAGCCTTTATTTAACCAGGTGAAAATCCCATCGAGATCAACGATCTCTTTTTCAAGGGAGACCTGCAGACTAGTTGTTACTGCTGACAAATAGCAATTCACCACTAGGTTAAGCTAGCAGAGCAGGATTGCAACAGTAGTTGTGGATGCCAATGTGTCATTTCACTGGGAATGGATCGGCCGCTGTTTGGAATTTTGTGGTTATTGTGCTCATCTGGCACTAGACAGAATAAATGCGTCTGCGTCAGGTTGTCTCTGATATAATGTATTACTGTATTCCTTCAGGCAAGGAAACGCCGTCTTCTTCTGGTTATAAAAAGTTCAGACTGTCCTTTTTCTGGCCATCATTTTCATATAGGATCTCATTATCAGAATACAATTGTGAATGACAGCTAAAGGGGCTATTCTGTATTCTGCAGTGGTCAATGAATATTAAGCAGAAGCTGACTCTTAAAGCAAAACTGAAGCGTGGACTGTGACAGAATTTCATTTAAAATCTGGTCCAGCTTCTTGTCATTTAGCAAAGTGAACCTGCTGAGTTATAGAGAGAGCGGAGCAGCTGTGTTACTGGAAAACCCTGCGGAGTAGAGCTGAGCAGTAATAATGCTCCCTGCTGAGCTCTCATTATTTAAGAAATTAAATGTTCTATCAAAGTGCAGAAATGTTAAGATCCTCACTGTTGTGGTCAGGGAAGTGTTCTGGAAATCTTAGACCCAGTCAATACTGTGGAGATACACAATCACAATGATCACTCAATAAAATGGTGGAAACAGAGTTGTCTTTTTGGTTCTTTATTTGAAGCCTCAAATAAGGTACAGGTCTCACAGAGTACAGAGTATTCTGGAAGAGTGCGCACAGGGGCAAGAGTGTGTATAGGTTTTATAGGATCTTGACAGTTAAACAACACTTCGTCACCTGTCACTGTGGCAGGGCTGGATGGAGAGATAAGCTACGCCTGCTTTCCAGAAAAACAGAAACCATACACTGGTAATATAGTAAACTGGTTTAAGACAGATGGAAGTGATGAAATTAAGAACACATTGTGGGTCAAAGACAGTTACAAGTGAGGACAGCAGGAACTCATTGTAAGGTTAAGACAGATATAACTAGGAAATTAGGAACTCATTGTAGGACAGGGAACAAACACAGGAACTTGTTCAAGACACTGTGCCTGGCACACGGATGCTCCTAAGGAGCTTGCTCACGACACTGTGTCTCACCCCCAGACATTCTTAAGGTTAGTCATAAGTTGAACAAAGGACATTAATTAAAATACATCATCATGGAACTACTGCATAGTATTTTACCATATTAGGTAACATATAAAGTTTGTTTGCACATCATATAAAGCTTGCACTACATATAGAGTTTGCCATTACATATAAAGTTTTAAGCATGCACTTTTATAACGTTTTCCACTACATTCCCTCCTTTTGATCATACTTTGATCAATCATGAAAATAAAACAAATGACAGGATCGACTGATATAACACATCAATGAATACACCCCATCGCTGGTTTAAGTAAACGCATCACAAATATATCATGGAAAATGTCTGTTTTTGTGGAGGACAGACTCCGATATAATGTAAGCATAAGAGGAGGGTACATTCAATTCACATGGATTATATCGCAGTGTCAAATTCAGAATCTGACTCTGACTCGGTCACAGGGGCACCTGCACGCCGGAATGTTTGGGGCAAAAGGTTGGCGTAGGTGTGGCGCCCCATAGGATCTTGGAGTGGGATAGCAGCGTACTGAACGAAAGCTGAGGATATCATGCTGGAGACGCATTTCTTCAGTAGGGGGATAATAAAACATGTGCAACAGATTAGTAGGTCGAAAAAGATCATCAGTGGTGTAACTATTCTAGCCAGCCATGCTTCCCACCCACCCGATGTAAGCCAGGACCACCAGTCCCAGCCACTCGCAGTGGATATGTCTTCATCTTTCATGTTAGCCAACAGGTTGTTAAGGTGTAGCACGGTGTCGGTAATGTTTTTGCTGGTGTCGGGAACGTAAGTGCAGCAGGAGTCACCAATAACATGACACAGGCCACCCTTTGAGGCGAACACAAGATCAAGAGCGTATTGGTGTTGCATGAGCATGTTCCTAGAGGCTATAATGTATGGGGTCAATGCCTGGAAACCTTGCGTCGTCTCGTAAATGAGGTTTTCTAGACTAACGTGTAGGCTATCTATGTTATGGGCATTGTTTACTGTGCCCCACCATGGGAACAGGCCGCTGACAAACTTAGATCCAGCGGACGTCAGATCCCTTTTTTCCAGGTGGTGGTCAGGATGTTGGAACTCTGGGTAATGATGGGTGGTGTACATCAAAGACGTGAGGACAGTGACTGCTGGAGTCAAATCCACTAAAGTACATGTACCTATCCAGATGGGAGCTAGAACTTGATAGAGCTTGTCGCCGCACAACCAAACGTAATCTTGTGGTGCGCTATGCCCAGCATCACTGGGCCAGGAAAGGAGGAGGGGAGTGTGTTTAACATCAGGGAATGCAATGGGGGAGTAGGCTCTACTAGGCGTACCCTCAACGAGACAACGAGTGAGATTGTAAATCCCGTAACCGCACGTGCTGTTTAGGATACGGATGCAACCAGTAGTAGTGCCTAGGAAGAAATAAGGTGGTACAAGAGACGTTCTTTGGTACGCTCTATGAATGCAGAGACTGTGTTTCAACCCTCTCAAATGGCTAGGGTGTACATGGCTGACGGGTTGGTACTTTGCGTATGTGGTATCTATCGTGGAAGCACGCAAAGGGGTGTTAGAGCGGTTACCGCATGGTGGGGGGAGCGAGGCTCTGGCATAACGCCACTCGGTTATGCGGTCTTCACCCTTGGTCGGCCTCGTTAGAGACATAAAGGCGCAGAGCTGTTCAACCTGGGTCAGAGGGCGTGGACGAACTGGTACGGACATTGCTGAGTCCTGGGGGAAAAGGGTGCATGCGTAGCATGACCCATTTTGCCCTGCGGCCTGCAGGAACGATCTCAGAGTGTGCCACCAGACGTTACCTGTGATACCATTACTGTGTCGAACGTCATCAACATTGCTATGGTCGTTATTGCCTAAGTAAGGGTTACGTTTCAATGGGTACTAGGGTTGATTAGGGCGGAACGTGGATTTAGGAGTGATAACTACAGGCTCAGCAGAGCGGATCAAACCTACATCATATTTGTGAGCAGCCCACAACGTTTTAGGCACTTCTTTTAGCGTGGCAGGGAGATCAGAAACATGAGTGAAAAATGAGAAATCCGGGCCAGATGGGCCAGGAACGAGGTTAACATAGTCATCATTGCCTGTGAGAATCAGAGAACGCAGTGCATGAACTGGGCAGTCAATGCTGTACTTAAACACGTCACGTGATGAGGAATACTCAATCAACGGGTCGTCTGTGCTAGTCCAATCCGTACTAGATTCCCAGTCTTTAACGATTGGACCCAAATCCCTCCATCTATCAGTGGGCCCCCTGGCTAGTGAAATGTGTGGGACCTCCCCTGGGATTTGATACAGCTTGTGTTGTGTGGGTGTGAGTGTAACAGAAATAGCACTGTGCAGCGAACTCCAATACCTAGCTTTCAGCATGAGTTCATCATTCACACATTCCAACAGAAAATTCTCATCATAGTATTGACATGTATCATCAACAACGTTAGCAGTACAATGCAAATGAGAAGCCTCCATGAACACCGCAGGTGGAAAAACACGCTGATCAGTCAACCGCAACAATTCCTGAGAATCAGGATATGTCAGCAGCAGGACTATGAGACCCTCATTTGTGGAAATGAGGTCCACGCCCAACCGGAGAATCAGATCTCTGCCCAGTAAATGTATTGGGCAGACAGATGATAGAAGAAAACTGTGTTTGACTGATGTGGGAAATGGATGACTGGCATCACCATTATCTTTACACTGAAGTGGTACAGAAAACTTCTCCTTTACAGTTACCCCAGCAGCTCCTATTGAGTGAATGAATCTACCACTACATTTACAACCAGGCAAATCTGCCAATTTTACCACAGAATGTGTAGCCCCAGAATCAACCAAAAATGTAACATCAACACACATGATAGCTAAAGTTAGAGTGGGACATTTCTTAAATGCTGTATCAGTGTCATATTTCAAATATGTACCCTCTTTAACAACAGATTTTTCAACCTTTTCCAATTTCTCAATAGCCTGCATGATGTGTGTGTGTGTGTCACTTCCCTGGTCAGATGCAGCAGGCAGAGGTTCCGTCTCCCCCGACCGAATTCCTTCCTCCTCCGACCGAATTCCTTCCTCCTCCACCCCCTCCCTCGACTGATGTCAGTTTGAAGAATTGTCATTGTTTGAAGCCGATGGAGAGTCCTTCTTGTTGGTGCGATGTGGGCAATCAGCGATCCAATGACCCATCTCACCGCAGTTGAAACAAGCCCCGTTGTTGCCGTTTTGGTTGCCTCCTCGTCCTCTGCCTTTCCCTTTGAAACCTCCACGGCCTCGGAAACCTCCCTGACCTCCTTGGTTCCCTCTGCCATGGCCTCCACCCTGGGCTTGGTTGGACCAGGCGGTTGTAATAGCCTGGACCATGGTCAGTTGGGCTTTGTCTTTGCGGTCGCGGCGTTTTCTTCTCTCACTGGCTTTTTTCTTCTGAGAGGCGTTTCTCGGCATGTATGGCAATTTCTTCCAGCCGGGCACCGTCCATAATGCCAATGCAGGAGGTTCGCACAGATGCAGAAATAGCAGGAGATAGACCGTTGAGGAAAGCGTTGCTGAGGTAGGTCTCCCAGACTCCCACTCCGGCGTCGGCGGCGGGTTTCAACTTTTACAAGGCCGCTGTTCTCGATGAACACTTGTTCTAAGCGGTGGTAATAGTTATTTACGGTTTCATCAGGGTTCTGTTTGCAGGCAGAGATCTTTGACATGTCGACTTTGACGGGAAATCTCTTTGTTATCTCGGTATTGAGGGCTGCTATGGCCTCGCGGTAGGGAGCGTTGTCCCTGTGCTCCCAAGTAGGGTCTTTCAGGTAGTGATGACCGGCCAGTAGTTCGGTGAAGTGGCTGACGTGTGTTGGACCGATTCTCAAAGTCAACAATTTCTTCATCTCTGGCATGGTGGGGGAGAATTGCCGACAGAACGTGAAGAGTGCTGCAGCGAATTTAGCACCCCCTAACTCGATATCTGGGAGGTGATCTTTTGTTATGTCCTTCATTTCTGCTATTGTCCATGGGCAGTAGACGACTGAGGGACCGTCGTGTCCAGCTACCTGGATCATAGGCAAGCTGGATTGGATGTCCTCCTGGCCGCAGAGGTGTTCTCTGTAGAGCTCAGCTTTCATAGCCTCCTCGCGTTTCTTCTCTTGCTTCAGGCGGCCTTTTTCTTGTCTTGCTTCTTCTCTCTTTTCTTCTTCATCTTCTTCTCTTTGTCTTTGTTTGTCTCTGTGTTTTCTCTCTCTCTCTGCTTCTGCAGCTGTTTCTTCAGCGGTGTCTGGTATGTTGACCTCTGGCCCAACAGTGTCGTGAGGTTGTAGAACGGCTGGAGGAGGTGGGGGAAATGGGAAACCATGGTCGAGGAGAGGGTCTCTCACGCCTGTGAAAGAGGGATACAGAGAGGCAGTGTGTGGGTTATATGGTGGTGGGTTTCCCTTTTTCTCTTTCTTATCACTTTCTTCCTCAACCTGTATTTTCCTTATTGCCGAGGCCAACTGCCTCCTTTCACGGCATTCTGCTTCATCCTCCCAGTATTTTAAACACTTTCTGTGAGTGTCCATCTTTTCTAAGTCTTTCACTTTAATTTTACTCTTCTTTTTCATTTCATCTTCACACTCTTGTAATTTATCCCTTAGATCTTTGACCCCCACTCTGCTTTGCCCCCATGGAGAAAGTCCTTAAGTGTTACCTAAACACCCCGTGTTATGCTAAACACTACCTTTTTCACCCGTCGGTGATGTGATATTTGTTCCTGAACGTAAAACCTTTTACGACTGATATACCAAATATCCTACTTTTGAGCAGCCCACCTAACAAATGTCATGGAGTTTACTTACGTTTTACTTTTAAACAATTATAAATTGTACATCTCACCGAGTATTGAGGCCTTTTGAGTTTGTTGGATCTCGTGAAGTCAATCGGTTTCACCCCGGCGCTGGTCCTCTCGTCCCGTACGTTTTCTGTCGAGGTAGAGGAGAATCCGAGGATCCTGGCGGCCAACCACCAGCGTCCGTAGGTGTCCCCAATCGAGCTTGCAGAGATCCTGCCGACAACGCCAAGTTGTTCTGGAAATCTTAGACCCAGTCAATACTGTGGAGATACACAATCACAATGATCACTCAATAAAATGGTGGAAACAGAGTTGTCTTTTTGGTTCTTTATTTGAAGCCTCAAATAAGGTACAGGTCTCACAGAGTACAGAGTATTCTGGAAGAGTGAGCACAGGGGCAAGAGTGTGTATAGGTTTTATAGGATCTTGACAGTTAAAAAACAGGAACTGGTTTAAGACAGATGGAAGTGATGAAATTAGGAACTCATTGTAGGACAGGGAACAAACACAGGAACTTGTTCAAGACACTGTGCCTGACACACAGATGCTCCTAAGGAGCTTGCTCACGACACTGTGTCTCACCCCCAGACATTCTTAAGGTTAGTCATAAGTTGAACAAAGGACATTAATTAAAATACATCATCATGGAACTACTGCATAGTATTTTACCATATTAGGTAACATATAAAGTTTGTTTGCACATCATATAAAGCTTGCACTACATATAGAGTTTGCCATTACATATAAAGTTTTAAGCATGCACTTGTATAAAGTTTTCCACTACAGAAGCGTTAGTACATTTGTGTCGTATCGGGATCTTGTTCAAGTGTAGAAGTTATCTATATACACAAACAAGGAGAGAGAGTGAAAGAGAGAACACAAGAGAATAAAGTAGTAATAATAATAAACAGTCGCACATCATTTTAAATATGTGGCTACATTTTTACCTTAAAGGGGACCTATCATGCAAAATGCACTTTTTGATGTCTTTTATACATAAATATGTGTCAGAAAATAAAACCCTCTCTTTTCCTCCGTACCCAAATCTCTGAAAACAGGGGTATAACGGAGCTGATCCAGATTTGCGTCCGATATGACGTAATATCGGAAATGTGGACCCACGGCCCTATCAGAAAGTTGCTATCAGAAACAATGAGCGACGTGTTTTGGTCGTAATATGGTCTTTGTTCACATTAGCATGCATCGCTAACACTCAGAGCTAACCTGTACTGGAGAGAGTATATGTGAGAGTATATGTAAAAAAGCAGGAAATTAAAAAAGGAACTCACCTTGTGGTAAACCCGCAAGAGAAAAAGCATTTGAGCTCCATACTGTTTCAGAAATAATCCGCGATGTGGTTTGGAACATGATATGGCATTTAATCACGGCAGTGTTTAGCTGTATCTCGTAGAATTCTGAGCAGGCACAAGCTCCCCCACCTCTTTTTTTTCAAGCTAAGGACCCCGACCCTGCAGTTCTCTAACAGGGCTGGAATAGAGGGATATGAGGGATGTCTAAAATGCATGATCTGTTTGGTATTGCGAGCAAAACACATCATAGACATGTTTTTATATATTTTTTATATATCTGAGACCCATAATTTATGCCTAAAAATAGCATAATAGGAGACCTTTAAAACAGACAAGATATATTGAATATTTATGTGAGTGGCAATCGCTCAGCGTTTGTGCGTGTGCATGGATGTCATACCATTAATTATAAAACAAGATTTGTATGGATTTGTGTGTAATCATCCAGGTGGGAGTACGATGAGAGTTACTGCGAGGCGGTGAAGAAGATGCCTCCGTACGATGCGGGGCCCAGGCTGCTGGACGTCATCGACACGGCCATCTTTGATTACCTGATCGGGAACGCTGACCGGCATCACTACGAGAGTTTCCAGGACGACGGCGGCGGCAGCATGCTCATCCTGCTCGACAACGCAAAGAGGCGAGTCATAATGTCAGAGCACACAACTTTCATTCATGGTCAGCACGCATCATTTGCAGAGTTGCTTGATAAATTAATCCAAAAATTGAGAAAAACTTTAGTGAAAAAAAGAAACCCTTAAAATTGAAATTGTTAACCATGAGATCTAAAATTGTATATAAAGTGTATTCTCATTAAATAAAGACTTTAGAGTTAGATATGCCTACAGCATTACCTGAAATCAGTTAACTAACTAGAAAAGTATGCTCTTAATTCAATCAACATGTCTGGCCTTTTATAGAGTCTCAATTTTCTTGCGAAGAATACATTTTCCGACATGCCCATAGGCCGGGAATGTGCTTCACACTACTGATTTGAATTGCAGGCTGTTTTTAATATTATTCAGACTCAGCTCTCTGAACTAAAGCTTCTTTTAAATGTTGATAAAACTAAGGTAATGCTATTTTCAAAAGCCAAACAGACACCAGAGACCGCTTTGGATATTGTTACTGCGCAAGGAAAAGTACTTGAAGTGGGTGCCTGTTATAAATACCTTGATATCTGGCTTGATGATTGTCTCTCTTTTAAACTTCAGGTCAATAATCTGCTTAAAAAGCTGAGGGTTAGGCTAGGTTTCTTTTTCAGAAACAAGTCCTGTTTCTCGCTTGAGGCCAGGAAAAGGCTCTGTGACCTTTTTACCTGTGCTGGACTATGGTGATTTGATCTATATGAATTACCTGAACAAGTTAGATGCCGCCTATCACAGTGCACTGAGATTTGTTACTAACTGTAAAGCACTTACTCATCACTGTACACTGTATGCCAGGGCAGGTTTGCCTTCTCTTACTGTACGGAGGCTCAGTCATTGGTACTTGTTCATATATAAAGCCATGTTGGGTAAACTCCCATCGTACATCTGCTCTCTGATTACACAGAGTTGCAGCTAGCTATTGCCTGAGATCACATGATGTGGTCTTGTTACATGTGCCAAGTGCAAGGACTGACTTAGGTACGAAAGCTTTTATGTGCGCAGCTCCTCTTGCTTGGAACAGACTTCAAAAATAATTGAAACTGAGCTATTTGGTTCCACTGCATGTTTTTAAAGCTCTGATAGGTGAAATGCTCTTTGATACTGTTGGTACTTGTAAATGTCTATAGGTATGTAAATGTAGCCCTGTAAATATGATGTATGATGTCCTTTATTTAGTGGGAATGCTGATACAGCATTCCAACTATATGTTATGCTACGGACAAACGAGTTATTATTATTCCGTCCAATTATTTGTCCGTCTTCTCCTCCCACATTCAACATCGCAGAAACTCCGTTCAAACATCAAAACGTTGAGCTCGGTCGGGAATCGACTGCTATTACTTTTCTCATTCATAACTTTCATAATTCCAGAGATACATCCCATAATTCATCACATTTTTAACATTGAAGTCAATGGAGATATTCTTCAGACTTCAACAAATCTTCATGCGACTTCAACTGCTAACTGTTCATTCATACTTTCACTCAGAAACCTCATTCCAACTTTAAAAGGTTACACATCTTTCTGACATTATTCGTGTAACACAACTTTTAAATCTGATTCTTACTTTTAGAGATATTAAACATTGTTCAGACCTTGTTAAAGAGGTTTTCTTCAGATTTTAACATTAACTAGAGTGTGTGATGTCACAGCTAGAGGGTAAGAAATCTTGAAATGTGCCTTCATATTTTTTTTTAAACTTCCATAATTCCCAAACCCTACATTCTTGAAACATAATTTTTCATGAGAAACGTAGGAAAACATCTCGTAGCTTGAAAAATGACAAATAATTAAGCAAAATAATTCAACAAAATGCCTCTTGAGGGCATGAAGTGACAAAAACGTTCAACATGTCTCCATTAAGGCCCCTACACACCAGGCCGATATCGGCCGTCTTGCGTTGTTGGGCGAAAACGGGTTCCTTGTCGCCCAAAGTCAATTTGGTGTGTCCCGAACCCTCGGCCGTGACACGCCTTATTTGGCCTTTCACGATCGACAGCCGGCCGATTCAACATGTTGAATCGGCCGGGTGTCGGACACAAGCTATCGGGCCAAGAAACCACTCTGATCAGCTGTTCAGCTAGCAAATGAGAAGCGAAACGGAAGTGAGGGACGTAAACAAACGATTTAAATGTCCTCTCTTACCTCCCACACATAGCAGGGACATCTCTGATATCGGCGGGAGCGTCCCCGGCTGTCCTCTGCTGAGAGCTCCGTGATTTGTTTGGTCAAGTCCGGTTTTTCATCTCATCGTAAATTTAGCAAGAAGTGGCCATTATTACATTGCTGACTCAATAAACTACACACCCGCCAGAACACTGCGATCATCAGATGCAGGTCTATTAACTGTGATTTTATAGTATGTCTGCACTTTATGTGCTCATTTCATCATGCATGTATTTTTATATTCTAAAACATGTTTTCGATGGACGAGAGTGAAAATGGAACGGCACCCGCTATTTGTTTGTATATCAGTCTGTTCTTCTTCTCTGTCTTCCGGTTGTTGCCTATTTTGAATGACGAATACACACTACCGCCGCCTGCTGGTAAGGAGAGTTATTGCCACTCACGCATGCGCAGTTCGTACGTGCTCGGCTGTAGTAAAGCGGTGTATTTCAGTGCGACACACGGCCAATACGCAGGAGAACTCGTCGATGGATCTGTCTGTGTCGGATGTCGGCGAGTTCTCTGGTGACTGCCTGGTGTGTCAGGGCCTTAAAGCCCATTGTAATTTCAGGCAGATATTTCCTCACAGCAGCAGCCGCACACCTTTAGTTAAACTGCCAAAAAGGCAGTTTTCAGCATAAAGCATTCCCACTAGCAATTTCTTCAGGAATTGCATTCTCTAGTTGTTTTATGTTGTTTTATGTTTCATGTTTAACCTACTTGCTGCAGGTCTCCCTTGAAAAAGAGATCAATGATCTCAATGGGACCTACCTGGTTAAATAAAGGTTTGAAATTAAGCAATAAATCGAGCAATAAAATGAAAAGAAAACATTAACTTAGATACTAACTAAGCACTTATATACTAACCAAGCACTTATATACTAACAAAGGACTGGCTTATCTAAAGCCAGTTGAGTATCACTTGAAATGTTTTGGCTCTATGAAACCTGATGTACTTATATGATTCTGTTTTCTTCAAGTTTGTATCTTCTTGGTCGAATGCACTTATTGTAAATCGCTTTGGATAAAAGCGTCAGCTAAGTGAAATGTAATGTAATGTAAAATGATACCGGTTTATAACTGACTCATGGTTAACCGCTATTTCTCAGAATTGAGGACATCAAGACGATAATCCGTCTTTGAACTTATTTTGCTTTGGTTTCTGAAACTGTGGAAAACCTTCTATTTCACAGCTTGACATCTTTTTCAAGAAATGAATCACAGTTGGCAGGATGTTAAAATGAAAACTGACCATAACTTCTTCTATCGCTCTGAGTAATTCCAGTGGGTTCAGGAAATGTGTATTTGGTGACATGTCTGTGTTTTGCCTTTTTTTTCTCTTTTTTTTTTTAATCGTTTATTTGAACCGCGACAATGCACATTGATGAACAAAATAATGCTTTAAAATGTAAATGAGCCGGCTTTGAGCTCATTTCCATCCGTAGTCCCGTCACATACAACATTTATGACAGTTATATACATGGCAAACAGAAATACATGATGTGCAGAAAGAGCATGAGCAGCATACAAGCATTTACCACATGGCAGTACAATGTAGCAGCTACGATATATATAAAGTGCAGGAGAAGATAAAAGGGCTATATAAAAGTGCAAGAGGAGATTCCCCTGTGTTAAAGTGCATTTAGCGGTGATTGCACGTCTGTTTGTTTCTCAACCATTCTTTGAGTTGACCTTTAAAACTATTGAGAGTGGGACAATCCTGTATCTCAGTTGGGAGGCTGTTCCACAATGAGCTGCCTTTAACGGAGTGGATTTGTATTGATTCAGTTATCTTTTTAATGATCTCTATTCAGGCTGTTTTTAGCTTGTCCCAAAATCAATTTCAAAAGACAGGTTTATTTAAATGCTGTTTACAAACCACATATTAAACCTGAAGACTCCCAGCAACCACAACGACTCTCTCTTGTGTTTGGCTCTGCTCAGTGGAGGGTGTTTTAGAGCCGTTGCATTTCAGAGTAGGTGTGCGGTCCTCCTCAGCGCCGACGGCCAGTCGGGTGTAGCTAATGCATCTGAAGGTTCCTCCTTGCCGCAGTGCAGACACGCCTCTGGCTTCAGTCGACTTACTTTCTTTTTTATGTTGTGTTTTCTCTCCTGCAGCTTTGGGAACCCAGCTTTGGATGAGCGAAGCATCCTTGCTCCGCTCTATCAGTGCTGCATGTGAGTACTCATCAAATGATCAAACCTCTATTGTTGATTTTGTGATAATAACTATCCTTGGTTAAATGGACTTATAACACCAACACTGGACATTTTATATTTAATAGAATATTCCATTCCATGCACACTTGATGTAAATAATATCCTGCTTATATTGAGTATATTGTGTTCACAAAAAATTGGCCCATCAATAGTGTTTTTATTTTTCAGACAGTTTATAGATTTTCTTTTTCATCTGTATATATTTCTTTGTCTCTAATGCTGGTTTATTTCTATTTCTATTTGGAGATGTTTATATTTTAGAATTGTTTATTTCTACTCTTTTAATTTGTTATTATGTGCAATGCCTTGTTTTGTTTTATGCTGCTGCAACAAAAAAGTCTCCCAAATTGGGATTAATAAAGTAAATCTTATCTTTATCACGATATCTCTCTGCGTCAGGGTCCGTGTTTCGACGTGGAACCGGCTGAACCTGCTGAGGAGTGGAGCTCTGAGCTCAGCGATGCGCCAGGCGCTGGCCTTCGACCCCATCGCGCCCATCCTGGCTGAGCCCCACCTCGCCGCCCTGGACAGGCGTCTGTCGGGCATCATAGCAACGGTCAAGCAGTGTATGGAGACGCAGGGCCCCGACAACACTCTGATAGAGGACCAGATTATCCTCCCACACCCCTAGACAGAAGGGACAGGAGGACACAGCGGGACAGGAGCAGCCAGGAGCCTCAGAGTGAAGGAGCTGGTGGTTTCAGAGGCAGAGAGTGAAGGATCCTCAGGGCACAACAGAGCCTCTTCTCCCTGGTCCTTTCCATGTGTTTCACTTTGATTCGACTGGAGAGGCTCTCTAAAAGGAATCACTGGACTCAAAGTGGTGTCACCTTAGCTATAGAAACTTTTTCTCAGGACTGTTGAACACCATAGGAGGGTATCCGCTGTGAGAACGCCTTCCTCTGCTACTCCTGCCTCGTGCCAAATTCTGCCTCCAAGTCCAGCTTCTTTTGCAGGAGTGAACTAAGGAGGGAGCATGAAACTCAGAGAGATGGAGACACTAAAAGGAGCAGGATGGAATCTGAAAATGAGCCACCAAAGTCTTGATGAAACAAACTGTTCAGCCGTGTTGCAGACTGTTAGAAGTTTACAGTCCAAGAAACTGAAAATTAACTTCCTGTTGAATTAACAGGAAATGTCAGAACTGAAAATGTTTTTATTGTTTTTTTTCCTCAAATTGAAACTTTGATTGGCAGGAACGGAGGATTCAACCTTCCCCCATCATTGTGTACATATTTAACTAAGTAGTGACATAGAATTATGAGACAAAAGACTATACATTTGGGAATTATAATATTAAATGAACTGAGGGTGGGTGGGGGTGTGTGTGAGTTTGCGAGCGTGTATGTGTGTATGGAAGAGCGCCATATTGTGCCGTAAATTTAAAAAAAGCTACTGATATGACAGACTTGAAGAGAGGGGACATGGAGGGCTGGGTGTGGGTTCATCTTCAACATTAAACTATGATCTATTTATTATTGGTTCTCTCTGTCATCTCTTTTGCCAGTTGTTTCACACAAAGTCTGTTTCAAAATATGCATTAGGGTGCTACTATAAGGACATTAGTTTTGATCAGAAGTTGGGTTCAATTCTGTGTTTGGGAGATTCAAACCTATATAACAGCTGACAGCCAGTGCTAATGTGGTTTACACATAGACATTGATGATGTTTGAAGTGGGGAGGTGTTTTTTAGTTGTGGTTTGCACAACTGTGATGAAGTCTACAACATCCAGCTGTCTTGCGTTCTGATCTTCTAATGTGCACACTTTGTACAGCTGATGTAGAAGCAAAATCATAAAGAAATCAAACTAAACATTTACTCAAAATAAAGCTCCTGCTGAGGCAAAAGCTAGCAAATCTCACGCAGGGAAAAGATCCAAAGACCAGGCAAGAACGTTGTTTTTGTGAAGTTAATTCCAATGATCCAACAGTACAATGACAATGCTTTACCTATCTTTTTGCCTTTTCCTGTGGCCTCCTTGTGTCTTACCCTGGTTAAAAATAACATGTCTGCTGCGCTAATCCCACCTTCACCTGTCTCCAATGAAAACCTAATCACCTAGGGCCCAAAGCTTCCTTCAAGACAAAAGCATGAAGAATAACACTAAATAATGAAACATTTACTATAAACAAAAACAGCAAGAAAATACATGTTTAACTAGTAAATAATATAAATCAATAATTGTAAGAAGGCCCAAAAGGTCTGAATGTTTCCTAGTTTAGCAAACGTTTAACCTCAGTTATGCGTTTGGATTTTTACTTTCACCTCATGTTTGACTGAAGGGGTTTGTGAAAGGATGTGTGGGCTGCTGATTATTAGTCAGATAACTCTTCCTCAAACTCAATCTTTACTCTCAACCTCATCCCCTTTGAATCTGATATCTCTGCCTTCCTTGAATTGATATGTGAGGTCTGGCACAGATCTCGGTGTTGTCTCTTGCTGATGGATTTCCCCATTCAAGTGAGTGCTTCTGTTACAGGTCATCTTTCACCACAGGCTTTTATCACTATCACTCGACATGTTCTTCATGTTAGCTGCTGTGCCATTGGTGTTATCAGGGATACAAAGTTTTACCTTCAACCGCAGAAGGGAAACTTAATTGTGAAACCAAGATGCAGCCCCCCCCTCCTTCCCACATTCAGATGTTCACTCTCAGCTGCCTCTCCAGCTTTGTTTATGTGGTCAATAAGCCGGATGATGTGGGACACCTGTTTCGTTTAGACTAAGCAGGTGTTTAACATGAGACACATCTACCAAAACATTGAAACATTGATTCAAACCACAGTTTACATCGTGTCGAGGCATGCCAGGTCATGTCAGTCAAGGTGCCTCTGCACAGGGACAGCACTGAGTACCCTTATGAATTCATTTTGTTTTGACACTCGGATCTAGTATTGTGTGTCTGTGTCTGCCGTTATACCAAACTAAATCTGCTCACACATCTATAATTTGTAAATACATGTTTTGCTACTTATTTAATCAATGTATGCGCCTCTGGGACCGGGAAGCAGTCCGCTAAGTGGGCTAAAAATAATCCCACACATTCATTTAATTTCGAAGTGCTACAGATATTATCTTCCTTTTTGGAATAATGTATATAGCATCTGGGATGGACAAAGTAAGCACCAAACATTCATTGTAAACTCGACACTGAATATAATGGACAGATCAAAAAGTCCCTCCAGCTGCAGTCTCAGAAGTAGAACAATCTGAGATGAAGTCAGTCTTTCTTTAAAGTAAACTAATGAGACTAATCTCTCCAAATAAGAAAGCTATACCACTACTAGGAATTTGTTTAACACGTTTAGGTAAGGCAAGGCAAGTTTATATAGCACCTTTTAGCACACGGCAATTCAAAGTGCTTTACAAAATAAAATAAAAGACATACACAGAAAATCCCATGCACAATTTATCTGCACTTTTTAATATACCACCAGTGCAGTAGATCCTGGACCATTTTGTGAATTGCATTTACTATGTATGACATTTTCGGACCTATCACTAGAAATAAAGCCTGTTTTAAGTAGACTTAACAAGACATTAAAATGAATTGTAAGTCAATAAAAGTAGCCTTCATTATTCCTGCACTACAGTTGTCTGCTTTAAGACATGGCTCTGTGTAAGTGTCCTCTGTCAGGTTCATTTTTTTCAACTTGATCTATTACAGGGAGATGAAGGGTCACAAATCGTGGCTCAGCTTCGTCCCTACACTGATGTAATATTATGGGAACATGATTGAAGTACAAATGATGTGGGAGGTTAGTGTGTCAGTATCACAGAGAGCCCGTGCTGCTAACCAATCAGCTCCCTGTGCGCTGGTTTCACCCCTGCCTCTTGAGTTATGTCTGTGCGCGTGTAGCCTTGATGTGTGTGTGTGTGTGCGCGCGCACAGGCTCGATGCAACCCCCCCACCCACACACACAAACACACACACAAACGCACAGGAAAAAACTTTTAATTGTCGTCCACCAGCGGTTTCTTTCCAGTCATTCCCCTCCTCTCACTTGCCCACTCTAGTTTAAAAGCCACTTGAAGTCATGCATGAACTCACAGAGCAGATCGACGCGAGGAAGAGGATGCAGGCTGACAGGGGCCGCGCGCTCCATCGGGACAAGCGCACGAGGTATCTCGCGGTGATCGTGGTGCAGAACGTGCTGGTGACAGCGTGCCTGGTGGTCACGCTCTACCTGTTCTGGGTCGTTCAGGTGAGTCAGCCGTGAGTGGACTGTAGATGATGCTGTTGGTGGTGTATTATTATAAACGATATTCCTTCAGTTTAATGCTATTATCTAAGTACGGAGGAGTCACCAAAACAAAAATATTGAGATTAAAGTCAGAACTCTGAGGAAAAAGTCTAAAGTCTGACTTTAATCTCAGAATTCTGACTTCTTCTAACAATTCTGAGATTTTAAACTTTTGATCACATCCCAACACGTATTCTCACGTGAATTCTCATATTCTTCTGTATCTAAACCCTATATGAATTTAAACCACCTATACATAAATGCTGCTGGAAGTTTAACTCTTCATTTGATCATTTTCACAAATCCAGACCTTATCTTCATCTATTTGTGCACATATTTTTTTAAACATGCAATTAAACCAATCTTACTAATTGTCCTAAATCCATTGCCTTTGTGCATTTAATACATGGACTTTTAATGTGAGACATGAACGTTTTTCCCCATACTTTATCACATGGAAACTTCCCCAGTGTGGCTCTCTTTAATTTATATTATATGTGACAACAGCAGGTTGTGCAGGAGTCTTGTTAATACAAGTCATTTTTAAATAAGACTACATGGCCACAAGTGTGATGAGATATATGGGTGGGGCATGAGTCTATTATAATGGTAGGAAACAACTATGATCACAGCGAATGTCCTGAATTTCGGCAGAGTGAAAAGTAGAACACAGGCTTACTTTTGTACATTTTAAAATTGCATAATGTATATACATTGATAACAGCGCTGAAAATGTATTATAAGAGCTATTGTTGCTGTAATAAGTAGTTTCTTCTTGTGTTTGTCCTTTATTGAGAGCAGTCATTCTACTTTCACTAAGGTAGATTTTGTATAGAACTTACTTGACTTTTATCCTAAAGCTGACAGAGTAAAATTCTGTATTACATTTTAAGATTGCTCTTTTCTCTGTCAAAGACCTTCCTACAACAGAAACATGGTTGTTTGTCTAAGGAGCATCACTATTTTGGAGATGGACTGGCGCAGTAAAGTAGGCTGAGACAGGATGCCACATTGGTCCTTTTGCCATGATCATATGAAACTAAAACTGTCTTCATAAATGCTACCTACTGGTCGGTTTCACTCTGAATCTTAAGACTAAAGTCAAATTGTAATCCATAATAGAGGTGCTTCTTTCTGATTAAACAGAGCAACATAAATGTCACTATTTAAAAGTCAAAAGAAACAGGAGTTTCTCCAGATATGACCTGGATGACTGATCATCTGTATGAACATATATGCAGTGTAACTGTATCATGACTGTACCATTTGTTCTACATTTAGTCACTGGTGTCTATTGCAGCTTTCACTACAGTTATTAATCATCCGAGACTTTCCCTAGTTTCTGTCAGCCTGCTGTTTTTCACCTCACCTAACCACCGAATCAAACCATCAGTATTTTGTGTTTTACAGAATCAAGAGGCTTCTGAAGATAATGTACACATACAATTTAACCCAATAGCAGGTGAGAAATATAACGTTTTCCTCTGACATTTATCTTTTTATTCAACACTCATATTGGAAAATGGGTACTTTTCATTTTCTCAAAAAGCTAAACAAGATTTAACCTTTTTCTCCTTTTTCTATCATCCCCTTCTCTATCTCACACCCCTCAGTCAGCTCAGGAAATAGGACAGTGCAGTTTGGTAAAGTTAAAAGCAACAACATGATGCGTCTCGCTGATGGGAAGAATGATGCCATCTACATCAAATGCACTGGACCCTATGTTTTGTACATGAAAGTGTGTTACAAGAGCATGGATGGAACGGAGACCGGGGGGGTCATGGAGCTGCAGGTGTTGGGGAAAGCTGTCAGCTCTTTCTCCCTGCATGTGAAGCATTCAGAAGTGGTCTGCACGGGGCTCCACAGTACAGCCTACCTCAGCGAAAAGGATGAAGCTAGTCTGCACTTGTACCCCACGGAGGGGTTCAGGTTTGAGAGCATGACTGTGGGACTGAGCTATCTGCTGGGGAGCCGGTGTGAATACTGAAGAGCGCAGGTGAACAACAAAGACAAAAAGATTGAAAATGAACCGGGACAATGATTTGCACATGTTTATCTGCTGCTGTGAGAACGGACACACTCAGCAGGACTCACACTGAGGGCATCCCTTTAGCTCTGTGAACTCCTCCAGCGATGCAGTTTGATTGTCAGCAAGAAATAAACAAACAAGTTGGGATTTGTTATTCTCATATAAAACTCAATTTAGCAAATAGCTATACCACTTTCTTTTGTC